TAATGGCTATGTCGCTGGACTCCCACGTAGTCGACCGCGGTTCGTGTCCCGGACCCGGTGGCTTAAAAAACTCACGCCGGGCGCGTGTGCGTGCGTGCCCAAGATCCCGAGAGGAGAATGGAGGAGAAGGGATTGCGGCGTGACCATCCCCCCTGGGGGGTGATTTCTCGCTTTCTGTCTCTATGTCTCTCTCTGTCTGTCTGGCGAGCGCACGCGCCCTACAGTGAAAATCTCTCCAAAAAAAAAATTAAAAAAAAAGAAGGCATTCCAGCTCTCGAATTCCGTGAGACTATGGAGGTGTCTTCTAAACACTATGAACACCACACAAATACAAACTCACTCACATCCCTACCACAGCTGATGCGTTTTTTCCAACTGCTGGGGCCAGAATTGGAATCATGGTCAGCCATGTGGGATCTGGCTCCTTTAAGCACTGAGCTATGGGGCTGGCCCTCACCTTTTAACTAAATTACTTTTATGTTAACATCTAACTGAGGACAAGCACTGAGGATATAAAAGGTTGAAAAATAGCTTAGACAATTTTGTAAAAGGATGTATTATTTGAGAAGAGATGGAAATAGAAGAGAGCTGCCCCCAGTAACATGGTGGGGTACGAATACGAGGGTTTTAGCTAGGAGGTGGAATCAAATTCAGAGGGTGCCAGAAACAATCAGAAAAATTCACCTGCATAGGCCCAACACCCTGAAAAAGTAGAATGAATTGCCTCTCTTCCTGCCGCCAGACCACCACCTTGAGATAGGACAGTGACCCGAAGTCCGCTCAGTACTATTAGCATGATTGGTCAGTCATTGACGACTTTTTTCTGCATTGGGCTCAAGGCCCACCATTTTTGGAGCAACTACTGTGGAAACCCCATTTCAAGCCTAACCAATTCACTTTCAAATTAATACTGGAAACAAAAATGTATTTCCACTGAGGATGGTTAAAGGATAGGGTACCCTTATATTAGGAGAGAAAAAACACAGAACACGATCATTTCCCAGCTTCTTTCTGTTTGAAGAGAGGAGTGGTGGAGACTACGGACATGACAGAGATTGAAAGAGGTCCTCTATGTGAGAGTCTGTCCAGGTTAGGTCCTACCTAACCTTTAAGTAAGATGAGCTTACAACTGTACTTTCACATAAAATTTTAGAAAGGACTCTTCTGAGCTATATTAATTACAGAATAAACAGCTCCCCAATGTGAGAAGCTGATCATTTCAGCTGTCTCATCTCCTCCCCTGGAAATATAGGGACAAAACGAGACATAGAAAGGTGCTTTTTAAAAAAATCCATATTCCTGACTACTTACTGATAACACACGAAACTACTTTTTTATCAGTATAACGGCAAGGTGCTAAAATGATTACGAGTTAAAAAGCAGCAGTATAGGGGCTGTCTCCATAATATAGCATCTAAGCTCTATGCGGAGGAAGTCAGATCTCACCTGGCTGACAAGGGTTCTAGTCCTAGTTCGGGCAGCTTACATGCCAGGTGTGCCAGGGTCCTAATGGGATGAAGAGTAGGAGGAAAAAGGATTGCAGTGTGGCCAGGCCCTGCTGGGAGCCCTTTCTCTTTTTGCTTTCATTCTGTCTCTCTCACATATGCACCCTGTGATATTAAAAAAAAAATTTTCAAATAAAAATAAAAAGCAGTAAAGGTTGAGTATCCCTTATCTAAAATAGTGAGTCCAGAAGTGTTTCAGGGTTCAGACTTTCTCACATTTTGGAACATATGTATATACATAATTAGATATTTTGGGGAAGAGACTCACATCTAATCATGAAATATATTTCTGCTTTATAGCTACTTTATACATGCAGCCTGAAGGTGATTTTATACCCTATTTTCACATCACAGCATTTGACTACAACCTGTCATGTGAGATCAGATGTGGGACTGTCCACTTGTGGCATCATGCTGGAGCTCAGAAAGTTCGAGATTTTGGAGCATTTCTGATTTCGAATTTTCACGTTAGAGATGCCAACCTGTCTCTGTAACTTAAGAAAACACAGACCGGGTGTGGTTCTCTGGCTCAAGCACAGAAATATTTCTCTACAAGTTACACATATTATTCTTTGTTGACCTATGGAAAAAGAATTCTGCAAAATAGGGATGTATTAACACAGGTTTTTCTTTTAAAATATTATTTATTTATTATTATTATTTTTTTCACACATGTTTTGCCAGAGAAAGAGAGAGAGAGCCAGACAGACCATGGTCAGCCATGTGGGAGTGTCCAGTGCCTTAACCACCACACCACCTGTTGGCCCCATACAGGTTTTCTTTTAATGTACGTGAATATAAGTGGGAACTTCAAAAGAGTTTATGGAAAAGTGGGATTATAGTTCATGCTTAGTATAGTGAAAAAATTCTTAAATCCATGCAGTTTTTCATAACACATTTTCCATAAACTTTCTGGAGATCTCTTAAATATGGCACAAATGCAATAAAGCCAAACCCAAGTAAATGTAAATATAACTATGATCCTCAATTAACAATTGTTCAGAATTTAGGATTTTCTGCAATCAAGCCACAACATTGATTGACCTTCCTCTGGGCTAAGCAAACCTTCTTTTCTTTTTTTTTTTTTTTTAAACTAGACTTTCATTAAATAAATGACTTTATAAATTATCTCCCTATTGAGTTTTCTCATTTTTATCTACACGCACAATCATGGTCTAAGGGCACAATTACTGTAAATATGGGCTTTATTCTCACCAGCTTTGGCCAGCTAATAAGGAATTTAGGTAAGATTAAAGAAGATTAACATAGAGGGCAAATGGAGGGGAAAGCCTGCGTCTGCCAATCACTGGCCAGGTAAGATAGGGATGTCTTCAAGTAGGCTTTAGTAGAACACATTATAATGATATTCGTCCAAGGCTGGCATTAATGTTTGTAAAACAAAAACCAAACAAAACAGTAATTTACATTTTCAAAATCACTGCAGTGTTCAAAACGCAAAACGGAAAAAAAGGATTTTATACAAACCAAGTGATATATTTACAGTAATTCCAAGAAGAGCTGTTACAATGGGAAAACAAAGATTCTGTCTTAAAAAAAAACAAAAGCACAGTATTCTGTGCGAATACTCACAAATTATTTAAAGACTCAATTAAACAACAACAAAACCCCACCCCAGGAAGAGATCAAACGTTGTGGCCACCTGCAGGGAACATGTCACAACTCCCCACCTGCTCACTCGACTGTCAAATTAGGAATACGGGAGCTCTCTGCCGCCCCAAAGGCTGAAAAGTTAAATTTTGTCTCCACTGCTACGTTAAGTCAATGGGTGGTTTTGTTTTTGTTTTGCATAAAAACAAGTTCGTTAACTTCTGATTCCCGCTATGAAAATCCCACATCTTTAGGACAAGTATCTGTGGACTTCAGTAAGTTGTCTAAACACAATGACATCCATCTCTTCGCAGAACAGAGATGACTAACACTTAAAAACGCCGTTTCACTGCCCCCCCCCCGCCCACTCCTGACCTCTCCCTAAATCACGTCTTATCGGCGGAGAAGGAGCGTTTTGGTCACGTGCACGCCGATCCCTCTTGCAAACCTGGGCCGCGACCGGGCGTCCCCGGAGCCACCCAGGACTCGGATTCCGGTTTTACCTGCGCGCCATTTGGGACGCACTCACGAGGGCTGCAAGTGGACCCCGTTTCTTCTCCGTCCTTTTAATTTTCCAACAGTTCTGAGCTCACTTCTGCTACCTCCCGAGACCCAGGCCCGCCCCTCTCTCCTAATGGCAGTTTCCCTTCCAGCCGCCCGGGGAGAGATCGCGGTCGCGGTCGCGGGCTCCGACCTGAGGAGGCCCCGCCCGACCG